GGCAATTTCTTTTAAAATTTATGCCGCAGATGTATGAACACAGTTCCGCATGTCCATGGGTTCAACTGCGATTTAAGAATGTGTTCGGGCCCGTGCCCGCCATGGAATACAACGATTATCCCATTCGATTGGCGGCAGCGTATCTTCGAAGGTCCGATTAGATAAGATAGTCCATGTTTCGAATAAATCACAATTTGCCATGATCTCTGCGATTAAAATGTCCATAGCTGTTCCGATTGTCTGCACACAAATCAATTCCAGCTAATCGCAAAATGCAGTTCCAAATAATATAAGCCCATTCGATTAACGGGAGCGTACTCCCATAGATTATCTGAAAAATTGACTCTTGAGTGCAGCCTTATCTGTAAACATGCTCACGCAATGGGCCGTAATTGCTTGGGCGATAGTATTTATGAATTATTTTTAAAACATTCCCAAAACGAACGTTGGGAATAATGATGTGAATTCCTGTATGTGGTCGCTGCTACATATTTTCTCTTATCAGCCAGCTAAAGCGTGTCCACAGATTCCCGTGGTACCGAGATCAGGCTTTCACCTATTGGTCAACCTACATCCAGATTCCATTCCGAATCGCGCAGTGCTTAGTCGCATCCCCTCCCCTGGTGATTGAAAAAAATGCTGGCTCGCTTATAAATACGCAAAAAGAGATAAGCGGAAACACAGTTAAAAGTTTAAAAGCCTGCATTCTACTACGTCGTAATAGCAATATTCACCCAGCCTCCAATTAAGAAAAGTTAGTCATAGTATAAGTAGGATTATTCTAGTTAAAATAAGTCTATGAATTAGCAAAAGACGAATACATTTCATTCAGACTGTAAAAGCTATTCACAAATTCCGAAGCGAAGATTGCAACCACGTGAAAGCTTTCCAAGGAAATCCAGAAGCTTCTGCTGCTCGACATGTAAATGACACAAGCAGATGTAGAATTACTGTATCGTGGATCTATCTACATGCTCGAATCTGAATCCAAAGCCACAGATTCGAGCTCCGCAAATGGACAAATGCAATTCGCCTGCAAATGTTTTTCATATTGTCAGCAGAGAGGAATCGAACATAAAGCGAGCATCTATCATTGCATTGTCTGTTGGATTTTATTCCAATTTATATGACACCATTACCCTGCTGGGATGCTCTGATTTCGATGCCATGTTAATGAGATTGTCATCGTCAAAGTTGGCATCGAATTACGTTCGCCTGAGCTGCAAAAAGTTCCACTTATTTGCCACCACCCGACCCGACCGCCACTAAACGCATGCAAATGATGTGATAATAATGTCGGTAGGAGAATGAGTATATACATACATATGTATGTACAAACATATATGTACATGGGTACGTAAGTATGTACGTATAATTGTATACTTGTACCCCACCGGTAAGTATAAAAATAAACGATTAAACCCATCTAAACTGGAGGTAAGCAAAGCAATGAACGTGTCCTGGCATTCCAACAAGTCTCCCTGGGTCGGGGGAGGACAACGAGGGGGCAAGGATAACAAGTGTTTGGCTAATGAGCTCAGTTTAATTGTGCGACACAAACACAAAGTGAGAGACACAGTCAGACGAATGAAAGTGAGCAGAGCTGCATTTAATTGACACGTCACGCCCCCAGAGAGCCAAACAAAGAATCTCCAAAGAAATCCCAGAAGAATGGGCCAGGGCTAATATTTGGCTATTCGAATGCAGTGCAGTCATTGCGTTGATAATGGCAGCTGAAATGGCAATGCTTATGGGGATGGCTTGGCCGGAATGAAGAGTACTTAAATCTCGCGAAAAATTCAGAAACTTTTGCATGTTTCGTAGATTTTATAAACTGCGAGTAGATATGCAATATATTTTTTATTTTGTTTGTAATGTAATAGAAAATTTGTATAATATACAATAATAATTAAACTCAGATTAAAGATAGGTAATGCTCATAAATAGAACAATTCTTAATGGTTTATTTTTATTATTATTAGCTTATTCTCACAAAATAAGTGCTACATTAATTCTATTGAATACCATTTAGATAAAGTTTGATTTAATTTAAATTCCATATTGAATAAATAGCAATCAAAATATTCCAACAGTTTCTGAAATTTACCAAAGAAAACGCACGCACACTGGAGAGCATGCACACATACATATGTAGATACATATTTATTGTTAATCGTTCTATTTTTAGCCCGAACGAGCATGCCTTTCTCTTTGGCTTTCTCACGCACACACACACCGACAAGCTGTCTTTTGGGCCATTTTCTGGGCGCCAGTCAACTGGTTCTATGGTGTAATGGTTAGCACTTTGGACTCTGAATCCAGCGATCCGAGTTCAAATCTCGGTAGAACCTGATGTCGATGCAAACTTTTTAGTTTTTTTTTTTTTTTTGCTTTCTGTTTACCCTGATGTTATTTCTCACTCTCACCAAAGATTTTCTCCTGCGCAATTATATAGTTGGAGCGCCTCTGTTGCCGAAAGGGCAGTTATCCTTTTGTATTATCCTTGCAATCAGCCAGCCCTTGGCTACAGATTGCTACTCGACTCGACCCGTATTGTTGTGTTTGGCTCTTTCAATTTTCTTTTTCAATTTTCCAGCACGGCTCGGCTTTCATTCAACGCTAAATCCAACAAACAAACACAGATACAGACGGACAGGAAGACAGATAGACAGACAGACAGCTGCATTTGCATATGTATGAGAGGAGCGTCTGATTTCAGTTTCAGCCACAGTTTCAGTTATTTCCTACAACTTTAACTGCAGAAAATAGTTTTGGGTCTCCAATAAAACGGCGGCATTGGCCATAAAAAGCAGCAACTCATTTCGCGCTGAAAGATACGAAATGCACCAAAGCCAAACAATTGGAAATTCTGTGCTTTTTCATTAGCCACTTTGGCTGGAAACTTTGCCCCGCAACATTGTTTTGATTAATTCGTCCGCTTAAAGTTTTTGCAAACATCAGAGCCATCTCTTGGATACATGGACGCATAGACGAGCAGTGGCAGCGGCGGGAGAGTCCATCTGCCAGATACAAGCAGGCAAGTCGACTATGGCCGACACTAAGCTGACCGTTATGAGTGTTTAACCAGAAGGCAGTCGCCAGTCGCCAGTCGCCAGTCGCCAGTAAGCCAACCCGACAAATGCGTATCTGTGGGATGCAGTTGGGGAGATTTGGATAGCTTTGGGGCGATTAATGTGCACGAGGAGATAGTCGATTTTCGTAGGGAGTTGATATATTTAGAGAGGGATATACGGACTAATAGATACAAGCATGGGTTGGATCTGGTTGGCATAAGGGACACTGAAGACAACTTGGGACACCTTAAGCTCCGACCAATTTAATTGAACCTTTTATCATTTCACCCCCTCAATCGACCTTTGGCCTTGGGCTGCATCAAAACAGAACCCCTACAAGCAATCAAGGCATCGTCGAGCAATATGAATGGGCGGACGTCCTCGTCACGAGCTAATAATAGAACAGGCGACGCAATTCCGCAACGGGCTGCTACAATCAATAATCGATATTTGACAAATTGAGCAGCAATTGCAACATGCCTGGCTTTAATTTCAGTCCTCGAGTGTCGCAACGTCAGAAGCTAATTAATTGGATTTGTTAAACTTGAGAAGTGGCCCCTCGGACACTGTCCGGTCCGGCTCCGTGAACAGCAGCCACTTGACCAGCAGCCATCACTGCTCTCCGCCTGACCCCTCCAGCCATGGGTTCTCTTGTCAAATTTCAATAATTTAGCACTAGAACTGTCCCAGACAGACAGTGGCTGTCAACGATAAGCCAGACGACGACGACAACCAACAAAGACGAACATTTCCCAACAAATTTTCTTAACCCCTTGGCCGGCCACAGCACCAACAACTGAAGCGGGCTTGTTCTGCCAGATATCGTTGCTCACGATGGGAGCTGGAGGGGGGCTCGGGAGCTCGGGGGCTCGGGGGATGGGTGCTGGGTGCTGGTGCTAGGTGGAAAACTGCTGGAGTAAAACTAAACGAGATTCGTCTCGTGGCGTTTATTTAATGCGCTCCGTTGGTTTGCTCCCATAAAAATTCCCCCGAAAATGTTGTTGATTGCACTTAATGTGGCGAGGTGGGACTGTTATGGCCCTCCGCCTTCTCCTTCCCCTTCTCCCCATGAGGAGGATTATGCAATGAAAACGCACATTCGCGGTCCCCATTAAAGCCAGGATAGGTCGAGCATCACATGGATTATTAAATTTAATCGCTAATGTCTCAGCGCGACAGTTGCACATAATGTTCGAACGGATTTACGAGTACGGCGGCGGGGGCTAATCGGCGGGGGCTAATCGGCGGGGGCATGAGATTGATTCTCCAGTTTACGGAGTTTTATGGGACCTGGAATGGGGAGTCCTCTTAGCACAAAATGCAGTAAGACGCACCAGTCTTCAAAGCGGGACCTTCGTTCTGTTAGGTTAAGGTAGGAGCTGTGGAAGTTATCCTGTTATCCTGTTCTATATACGACACGAACCATTTCGGGCTTTTCAATAAACAAATTTAATAGTTGTAGAGCAAAAAGGTTATTAAAGGCAAGCCTTTGTTCTTGCACTTCTTAAACTGCTGCTAAATTCTGTAAGGAATTATTGAATTTATAATGAAATATATAGCAGACCCTTATGGAAGTCGAATGAAACAAAAGATTTGTCAAACATTTGAAGACTGCGGAAGTGTTATCCCCTAATACCACTGTATATGTATTCTATTAGTTCTTAAGCCCACTGTGAGTATGTAAATTTACTCTCCTTGCAAAGAGCGCGTAGAATAAGAAAGAGGAAAAACAAGGAATAAAATCGAGAGCGAGATTAGTTTTTCCAGGCTACAATATTTTAAAATAAAATGTAAATAACTAATTTTTCCAAGTTATCCAATCAAGTAGCTCTTGTTTGATCTGTTACAAATTACTTGTGTCAGAATTTCAGTAATTGAGTAATCGAAACAATCAAAATAGCAAATCAAAAATCAAAAGCAAATATACCCACAAAACTGAGAATGAAGAATCCCCTGTATTTCCTTTTCTGGCTCATTGTCTTGCTCTGGCTGTCGTTCTTTGTGGCCTTTTTCGGGGCCTTCTTCTATATCTGGTCTTATATGTTCTCTCAATGCAGTGACTGCTGCGAAGTGAGTTCATCCAGGCACAGGCACAGCCACAGCTGCAGTCTTGCTATAACCAGAAAATTCAACTTCACAATCCATTCCAGGGTATTGCTGAATTTTTCCTGAAGTGCGTTCAGTTTCCCGGATACTGTGCTGCAGGTATGATGCAGTGCAAGAAACCGTGCTAGAATCGACGAAGATGGCAAGGGGCGGCCACCCGCCACCCTTTATGCAGCACAGTGTCGACACTATCCATACACATTTTGTTGCTATGCAGATTCCATGTTTTACTATCGGTTTGTATTTGGTTGTTGTTCTCCTCTTCAATCCTCCCTCGAATCTTTCGTTCTCGTCTACTACTTAGATACCGCCAGAAGATCTTCCTCTGCGTCTGAACTTCCTTCAACTGCGAAACCACCACGGACATCATGAACAGATTATATCAGGCCAACAGTTACTTTACACTTACTTTACTGTCGGTTTGTATTTGGTTTTTGCTCTTCTCTTCAATCCTCCTCCGTATAGTCTATTACTTAGATACAGCCAGAAGATCTTCCTCTTCGTCTAACCTTCCTTCATTTAAGGAACCATCTCCGACATCGAAAACAGATTACTTCAGAATAATATTTACTAGAAGATCGCTGGAGTACGACTTGGGCCGCTTGTTGAGCAGGCCAAGGTAGCGACAACAAATTATTGGTGGATATATTACTACATATGTATATTAAATAATAAACCTAAACATATTTCCCCACTAATGAGTGTTTCTTGTGGTTATTTTGTGGCACATCACAAGTGCTCAGCTGTTTTTACGTATGATAAGCACAGGGCCTGGTGGTGGCAATAAGTGAATATGCGATCAATATAGATACCATTCAATGACAAATACTCTTGGTTTACAATGAGTGCAACAGTGCACAAAATTAGGAGGATTCCAGGGCTGACAGGCAGAAGAGGGCAGCAGAATTGCTAAATTGCTTCAATGAGCAGCTCTTCAATGTTAGTGATTTTAGAAAATATTTTTGGCTCACAAAACGTACGACGAGCTGTATTGTCATCATTTGTACTGTCAAATCCGCCAGATTCCGGACTACAATCCCTTCGAGTAAGTTGGTTTCATAGACTTCCCTTTTGCTTGCATATGTTTCACATTTTAAGATTGAGCTTTTATCCGTCTTGTAAAATAAATTCAAACATGCGAATCCAGTGGTGTTGAGGACTTAATCCGAAAAGGAGTAATTGCTGTTCAATTTCTTACCCTGTATGGCCTTGCTGGTGTTGCCTGCGATGGAACCCACCCGTCCATATCTTCAAGGCATCGCACCTGCCTGCATGCAGCTCCTGGGCCTGGGCACACTCCTTAGCTCTAGGGTTTGATAGTAGTTTTTTATTTCGGAAAAGCAATTCTTTTGAGCCATACGCCATGACCAACTACAATCATTGATATTGTAGCATGTACTATCCCCTAATAACACTGTACATATGTACAGGTACCACTGTACATATACTATTAGTTCTCAAGACTGCTGTAATTGCTTCTTAAGCCCACTGCGCAGAACTCTCAGTACCTACACATATGTCAATATATGTACTTTCCTTGCAGAGAGCGTATAGAATAAGATTTAGTTTAGTTATGGATCGAACGACGTACTCAAGTCCCAGACTAGAAGCAGTATATTTTAAAATATAACAGACCGGCTCCGTTTTTCATTATTTTTTGCGGATTACGTTTTCAGCCAAAACGTTTCGTTTTCGTTTTAAGGTTCTCCAGTTTTCACATATTTTGGCTGTTTGCACCAAAACGAAAATTGTTTTCTATTTTTTTCCTTTTTCATTCAAGGTTCGTTTCGTTGTATAAAATGCCGTTTACTTTTCAATTCGTCAACGGAAATGTTTTCTTTTTGCAAACGAATAAATCTTGCGGAATGTGAAAACGGTAGCCCCAATAAATGTGTATTCAAAAGTAAATCGGAAAACTTTTGTTAATGCGAAAAACGGAGCCTGGTTGAATATGCATATCGTAGTAAGAATGTAAAGTGGTCTATTGTATGCTGACTATTGGGGATCGCAGCGGCTAATTTGTGATTTTGGTCCACTGCTCCTTCACCCAAAAAACTCACTCGCGGAGTGCCTTCTTTCAAAGTATTCTGATATCTATCACCAGTGTCACTATTACGGGAGGATTGGCGTTAGTTGATTATGAAAAAAAGCTCTAGGGTCCATGAGCTGGATGCTTACTCACGTGACACTTGTGCGGAGAGCTGCCTATAGTGAACAAGTTTAGACTTCGGATGCTATCTCTCGACACTAGCCCCCAATGGTGGTGTAGAGGAGACATTACTGTCCACACTCGTTTGCTTTATGTTCATTTGGGGGTATGGGATCCATGTCTAAACAATAAACATGCCGCAGAAAGCAGCAGCCAGCTTTTTATCCCACGCCCCTCGGCATGTCTCTGCATGTCCTACCGCACATCGACCTACTTAGGAACCTTGGCATATTGATGGCCAGGAAAAATATCCAAGAGAGCAGCATTTAGCTCCCATTCGTTATGTCTGTGTGACAGCTGACTGAGGACTATGCAGGGACTGCGAAGGCAGGAAGGAAGAATGGGGCTTGGGTAGCCGAGAGCTGTAACCAAAGACGACGACCACGATGAGCATGGCGCACACAGAATTGCATGTCGAGTGCTGCATAAAACTCGAATTACAGCAAATTTGTGGATATCGTTGGCCAACGAAAAAGGTCTTAACAAGAGGCGGAGGGGAGCTCGGGTCAGAGCGGTGGCGGGGAATGGGGACCGCAAAGAATCGACTTTCAAATGGATTCCGCTTTTATTTGACAAATACTTTATGATCTTGACAGCAACAATAGAGCGAAACATATATTGCTTCAGCGGAAATAAATTTAAAGAGCTGCAAGGCAAAAGTCAGTTTTTGACGATGCTAATGAACCATTAGGAAATTGTTAGATACCCAAGCTAATTGATAATTAATATTCAGGGGTTTGATTCAACCTGCATGATTCCCACATGTCTAATATATGAAATACATGGATGTATTAGTAGATTGATATTATCCAAAGCACTGCGATGTTGCTGTTAACAATTTTAGCTCCTCAGGGGGCCTTTCATCTTGAATGTACTTGGATCTTATTCAATTCTTATGCCAAAGTATGTCTTAAGTAAAACTTGAAAACTGTTGTTGTTTATCTAAAGTGTGCGCCCTCCTGGAACAAACCGCACTGTGTCCCCCCATCAGTCACATCCTGCTGGCCAGTGAACTTATTGCACTCCCGCACACTCACATTCTTCGCTGTTTTTGCTCTCGAGTATAAGATAAACAAGCTGCATTGCCAGGGACAATTAAAAGCAGTAAAGTGATACAGAGGACGAGTCCTGTCACAGCATTTTTGACGCTTTAATTGCCCCCGGAATGCGGAGGAAGAGCGACACGACACAAGGACACCACTCCGCCAAGTGTCAGTGAGCACCATGGCACATGCTCTCCGGCGCCGCCGCCTCCACCGCCTCCGCCGCCTCCGCCGTGCATCAAATGACAGTGTCCACATAATTTGCGGCTTCTCGCGTGACTTTAATTGCATTTTGCAGTTTTCGACAAAACTTAATTTAAACAATTACAGGGTCAGGCGCAGTCCCTAGCGAGGGTCGGATCGGGCAGGGAGGGTAAGGCATTCGCAGACGCCATAAAATGCAAATTCCTGTTGATCCTGTTTGCCAATGCCAATGCATGCGCCCGGTCCCTGCCATTTAGCCGGGTTAACTGGGGATGCTGCCTGCCTGGTGGCACGGTGGCACGGTCCTGGGCTGCCTTGTCATGTCTGATTCTGCTCTGGACCAGTTTCTGCCATCCCCAAGCAGCGTTCCTGGCGCACTTTGGCACAAACCAATCTAAGGATATTGTCATGCTGGCAGTGCCAGTCCCGGGCCCCCCCCAGGGGCTCTGGATGGGCTTGGGCGCCAGCATCCCGGCCTGGTCCACTGAGCCGCAGCACAAATATTTGATTTTAAATTCTTGTTCCTAACTTACTCAACAGTTGTGTGCACTGCAAATTTTTAAAACAATAAAAGATACACCCAATGAAAGATTAGATTACAGATCGACTAAACTTTGTCTATCGGTGGGCCCCAAAACAATGAAATTTCGCTTTCTCTAGTTCCCTCTCCAAAGCTGATCTCCGGTCTTCTGTAGAAGGGTGGTAATAGTCGAATAGTCATAGTGAGGTAGTATTTATTTCGGTCCACTTTCTCCCAGTGTACGAGTATCTGGTTAAATGCAGCAGCTTAGCTTACCAACTGCACTGAAACTGGCTCGACGTAATCCCCGAGTATTTTCGCGCTGGCACTGCACCTTTGACCCCCATATCGATACCCGACCGCACCCCTGCCGAGCAACTCATCAAACTGTCATTACTTTTACCCTTAGCAGATCCGACAAGGGCAGCTGCGATGTTGTCACCAGTTGCCACTCCTCTCGCTCTGCGCCAGGCGAACGGGATTAGATAAATATGCAAATAAACTGCATGTCAGTCAGCAGCAGCCCCCACGCTGTCCCCCATACTCGCATTAGGTACAGGACATGTTTTGCACACATAAAGTGCGATTAGCTGCGAGCTTCGCATGTTGAGGCATAGCTGAGATTCGGTATCTTGCAGATACATAAATCACACAAAGAAGTGTGAGCTCATTACCACAGACCACAGTTCATTGACCGACACACGCGCCGTGGCCCTCAAAACTTTCGACTAGTTCCATTTCACCCTTTTCCCAAAAAGTAGCCCAAAAAATAGGCAGCAGAAAACAATTTTTATCGGCTCCACGCACGTCAGGGTTCCGGGTTCCGAGTTCGGGGTTGCGGGTTGCGGGCTCCACCCACTCCACCCCCGCCCCCATTCGGGCTGTTATATACGAGGCTGTTTCTCTAAATCTATATCTCCATTGGTTTTTTGTTTGCTCTGCCTTTGTGGTATATTTATTTATTTTTTAATTTACTTCTCCTTTGTGTTTGCGTTTTCGTTGGCTCTGGCCTGGACTCGCTGTTGGGGACGAGTCCCATAATTCAAAATGGAAATAAATGGGAACAATCTCAGTTGGACATATATCTGAGCGCTGTACATGTACGAGTAGATTGCTTGTGGCTGCAAAAATTGTTGGACACCACTAAAATGTATATTTATTATTTACGGAGAGGTGGGTGGAGCCTTTTCAGCTAAATGGAACAGTCCTATTTCTAAGGATTTGTGTGCTCATGATTATTTCTATCTTGACATAATTGGACATATGGGGGATGGCATTAAGATTTCTGTTAGATACTATATGGAAAATACAAATATATTATTACTATTCGTAAAAATATGTGTACAAATTTGATTGTGGAATCACATTTTTCGAAATCTAAGCATCTTCATTTTCGAATTCAAATGTTAGTTGGGGTGTAAATCAATCAATACAGCTAGCAGAAAAACATCCTATAGACAGTGACAGTACAAGGACATGTTCCTTTCCGACCTCGCCCATTTCAATAATTATTTATCGCTTACAAATATTAAAAAAAAAAATTATGTTGATCCCTCAGGTATGTATTTGCATTCATCAGAGATCTAGCAGTTTTCAGGATTTCCTTTTCCTACTCAGATGTTTGCTTTTCATTCCCTTTAAAGACCTGATTCGCTCTTTCTCCCTCTCAGTGTCAGCCCTCAAAAACAAGATATATGTGTATATATGTGTATTTACCCAACTCATATTG